CAGCACAACATCAGGGACCCACGAAAACAAACACACACACACACACACACACTTTGTCATCATTTAGTATTTACTGAACACCCATGGTCTGCTAGTCACGCTTCAATAGAAAGGAGCCCCCCCACCCCTGCCAGTCATCTCCCCACACAAAAGCCCAAGCTTTCTCATAAGATCACCTGGGGATTTTACCGGGGCCCAGTCTCCAAGCCAAAGGGGGAAAACTTCTTTTTCTATAGACAGTCAATGACCCATAGCACAAAATAATAATCAATTGTAGATGTAGCGTCATTTATACTGGTAATAGAAAGCAAGTTAAAAGAAGATAACCCATATACTAAAGAATTTAAAGTCAGACAGAAGCACTTAACAGACGTGTAGTTACAGCTTGCAGTCAGAGTTTTTAACAACATGATAAAACACTGCTAAAATTCCAAATGCCTTTGAGCTACTTCTTAAACAGGAACTGAAATTCAAAGAACTTGACTGGAATGAAAAAAAGTTTTTTTTTTTTAAATGAAAAAAATTAGAAAATTGCATATAAAGTATGGTCACAAAAAAGTGTTTAAAGAAATATGCACAGAAGACAAAAAGGAAGTACAACAAACTGTTGTTACTGTCTTTGGGAGTTAAGAGTATAAAGGAATTTAAAACTTTTTTCTAATTTGGATTTTCAAATTTTCTGAGTATCATGGAAAAAAATAAGCATATTGAAAAAAACCAGCTAAGGGCTACATAGACATTAAAGACAATTGACCTTAATGAGAACATATCTAAGAATATTATATATGTGAAACGTCATTTTATTTAAATAACACAATAAATGTTTCTTTAAATATAGATTTCAGGGGTGGGGGTGTGTGGCTCAGTGGTGATGGACTTGTCTAGCAGGTGCAAGGCCCTGGGTTTGATCCTCAGCATGGCAAAAAAATATTTTTAAAAAATTGTTAAAGAGTGTTCCAGAAAAGTAGACAGAGACCATATTAAATAGAGAGACACAGAGCTGGAGAGAGCCAGTGGCTTTGGAACCAGAGGTGAACCCCTCATTATGCACAGGTTTGGGCCCTAAGCCTCAGAAGCCTTTCCAGCAAGCCATTACCCTTCGACCTCAGTCTCCTGGGAGTTGCAAATCTGGACCTGAAGCATGGAGTTGACCGTGATCCTCATGGATTCCTCTAGGCCTCTGCCTGGCCTTTATTCCCAAGCATGTAAGGGCAAGCAACAAACAACAGCTGAGCCTGAGCCCTGTGGGATTATTCTGGGCCATAGTAAGCTCTCCCCGCTGCCCACCTTTTGTCTGGGGAGGTGTAGCTCTAGTCAGTGGACAAAACTCAAAATGCTCCTAGTGTGCCAAAAGAGCAGTAAGGACACTAATACCAGTAAGAGTACCTTCTGGAAGATGGAGGCATTGGAAAATGATTTGTATCTGGGAAATAGGGCACCTAGGAGATGGCGCGAAGCACTTTCCAAACTAAGAAATGTAGCAAGAACCAAGACTCAGAGTCAAAGCTGGGAGATAACTGGGGATCAATAGGACAAACTGGTCTGGTCCAGGCTGCTGTCCAGTGTGAGGCAGCCTTAAATGCCAAAATTAGGAGCTGGGAGTCCATTGTAAACCAGTAGCAGTCTTGAGTCAGGGAGGTGCCAGAGGGAGGCAGCAACTCTGAGTGGCTGGGAGTGGGGAGACATAGAGGTATAAGACTGATGGAGCTCCTGGCCTGGCCTGGGGAGCCGGCAGGAGAAGAGGCTTCATTCAGGGTGGGTGATAAGGATATGCTGGAACCAGAAGAAAGTCAGGGAAGAAACTGTGGGAGAGGGGCAGAGATGGCCTGATCAGCCCTCCTCTGCCATGGCACCTCCCAGGGCCTTCAGAACATTTGGAAAACCTCTAGTGTGGTCAGAGATGGTGTCAGAGCCTGAACTTGAACCTGAGTCTCTGGTCCAGAGGAGAGTGTGCCAGGCTGGGCTGAGGAAACAGCTGGCCATGGAGCAGGGGTTTGGACTCCAAGAATCTGGCTGTCGTGGTACAGCTCAGCATCTCCACCTGAGGGACTCAAAGGGACAAAAGGAAATAGGAGGCCAATGCTCTGGGGGATAGGAGGCAGGCAACTTGTGGAACACTTTCCAGCATTTGTATCCCTCAGCTATGCTCTTACACATGCATGTGCATGTGTGCACACACACACCTGCAACTGTAGAGGGGGCTGGGCCTAGTGGGATGGGTGTGAATGCTCACCTGCCACAGCAGGTGCCCAGCAGGTGTCCCTGGTGTCCCCTAGAAATACCCTTCTAGGGAACAACCCCCATGTACCCAACTCTAGAGTTTGAAGGTACTCTTACAATCATTCAGACGGAATCTCACTTTATTACCTATTATCTATGGGCCACAGCTTCCCTAAAATGGAAATAGGTTTTTCTTTTTTCAACATGTTCTTTAAAGTTCCTCCCAACTCCAATTGTAGGGTATGTTGTCTGATCCCTGTTCCTCACCAAGTTCTGTCCTAATGAACCCCTCACATCCAGAACTGCTGCGATCAAAACTCTTTACTGTTCTCAACCAGCTCCTGACCTTCACTAAGTACTTATGTGCAAAGGTTGAGGACTGGTCCAGCCAATCCAAGGCTGGTGGTGATTTAAGGCTGCATGGGGCTTGCTGGGTGTGTGTGGGCGGGAGTGTCCCCCCACCTGAAACCCTGGGTGCTGTGAACTGTCAAAGGAATCACAGCAGAAACCTTAGAGGCCTTGAGATTGCCCCAGAGCTCAGCACCTTACTCTGGAAAGGAGGGAGGGAGGAGGGGCCCCACCCACCTGGTGAGGTCATGGGAAAGCAGCTCTGGCGCTGACACCTGGGGAAACCCGTTTCTAGGTTGCTTCCCACGCTAGCTGTCCTGGGAACCAGCTAAGCCAAGCCCCGTGCAGGGAGCCCCACACCTGCCCCTCCACCATCCAGTTCTCATCACACTGTCCTATCTGGTCCAGTTGCCACCCTGAAACCTAGCCAGAGTCCTCTGCTATCCAATTGTCCATCCAGGCTGTTGAGCCTGAGGAGGGTATGGGGGAAAGCAGGCTGACTGACTGTGCCAGGAAATGACAGAAACAGCAGCTTTAGAAATGGAAGGTTTTATTTGCAGACTGTGCTGCATTACCTTCTAGGGTTCGTGCAACCTTGACCTTGGGGAAAGGGATGACCCCCACCCCTTCCTGCTCCAGGCTCTAATTTGCAGCTTCTCCCCCTCCCTTTGCTGGGGTTGACTCTCACTTCCTGCCCCATTGCTGGCCTAGCCAGTTTGGGCAGTGGCTAGGGAGTACTGAGATCCAGTTCCTCCCAGGGCCCCATCCAGCCCTCCCTGGCCATGGGAGTTGAGGGCAGCCCAGGTGTCAGCCTGCTCCACAACTGCCCCGCCTGTCCCGCTCTCCTTTTCTTCCTTCTAGGTCCAGCCTCTGAGCTGCTTCCAGTCCCACAGCTCCCAGCCTCGATGTCTGCTCCTCTCTCTTGCTGGCCTTGTCTTACTCCATCCCAAACTTCTCTCCAAATCAAGGCTGATCACCTTCCAGCCCCCAAGATGACCCTCTGTTTCCCAGGCTCACCTGTGCGTGCGTGCGTGCGTGCGTGCGTGTGTGTGTGTGTGTGTGTGTGTGTAGATAACCAGCAGGGGTCCTAATTCAGCCAGGCTGACAGGAAAATGGGAACTGGATCCCAAACTGCTCAGAGATGGCTGACACTTAATTAAGACCATCCCGTGAAAATCAAAAGTGCTGGGTGGGTTTTCTCAGCGAGCCAAAGAAATCTAAACCAGAGCCTCCCTTCTCGTAGGCCCCAGGGTCATCCTGGCTTGTCAAAGCCGGTGGTCAGAAGTCCTTGTCCCCAGTGTCCAGTAGGGAACTGAGTCCCATGAGGTGACCAGGCCCTGCCAGCGGCCCCCTCAAAGGCCCCATGCCCCAGGTTCCAGGAGTCTTTGGCCTCCTGTCCACCACTCGCTTGCCCTGCTGCCCCAGCTGCTCAGACAAAGCAGAAGAACTTCTTCCAGCGACAGCGGGAGAGGGTGCGCACACCTTTGGCATTCAGTTTCTTCTCCAGCCGGGCTTTGTGCTCGATGGCACTGAGAATAGCAGAGTCAAACACCTCTTTCAAGTTCTTCTGCGTCAAGGCCGAGCATTCCAGGTAGCAGCAGGCCCGGATCTTCTCTGCCAGACCCTGGGCTTGTGGCTGGGGCACTGGACCCTCCCGGCCGCCCTGGTCCAGCTGAATCAGTACATTGACGTCATCCCTCAGGTCAGCCTGGGTGCCCACAAGCAGCACGGGTGCCTGGGGGTTGTGAGTGCGGATCTCTGGCAGCCACTTCTCGGTGATGTTCTGGAAGGAGCTGGGCTGTACCACGCTGAAGCACGCCAGGAACACATCTGTGTCCGGGTAGCAGAGGGAGCGAAGTCGGTCAAAGTCCTCCTGGGATAACAAGGCCAGGGAGTTAGCGGGTTTATTTATTCTCTGCCACATGGAGTAGGAATCTGCTTCTCCCTTGAGGCCCAAGCCCGATATCCTAGAGCCCAAGGCCTTCCCCCAGGTCCTCCCAGCCCCCTCCCGCGCCCCCAGGCTCAGCCCAGCAAAGACCACGCTCATCTTCTCACCTGTCCCGCCGTGTCCCAGAGCTCAATGCGCACCGGGGCGCCATCCACCAGGACTTGCACTGCAGGGTAGGGCAGAGGACAACGAGTGAGGTGGGCGCCGCGGGCCCCAGCAACTCGCGGGCGCGCTCCCTCTTCCTCCCGGGGTTTATCAGGACTCCCACCCAGACCGCAGCCTGCAGCCACACCCCAGCCCGCGGGGCCGACCTACCCGAGAAGGTGTCGAGTGCCGTGGGCCGGTAGCGCGCAGGATACCCGTTGCAGGTGTAGCTGACGATGAGGCTGCTCTTACCCACTGCGCCGTCGCCCACCAGCACGCACTTGATGCCCAGCTCCGGGGGTGCGCTGCGCCGTCGCGGAGGGGGGCTCGGGGCGCG